TTAGGTCAGAATTACTGATGTGTCGTTCTACGGATAGAGAGCGGAAGGTACAGCGCGCGTATAGCAGATTTAGCTGCCACACAATTCGCAGGGACAAAAGACTGCATTTATAGCCTAATTGACAGTACAGTTTATTGAGTAAACTTCCCAAGTTAATCGAAGTTCATGTCGCTCAACCAATAAAACAACTATAGCGTCGTTCATAATTAGACGAGAATTTCCAATACGTTTTATAAACGACACAAATTGAATTCCGCATTGTTGCAAACATAGCCACAAAATACGGCTGTATGGTTACATTTTTTATAACTTTTCATTTTCAATCGACAAACGTGACGTCAATTGCTAATCAATTTATAAGTCGCTCAATTTGAAATACAAATTATGAAGTTAATTAGCATATTCGATAATGTGAGATGAGTACATTTTTGAACTCGATTCTGTAGCTTTTGGCTGCTTGGTGTCACGGGACGCTAATGCTTTAAGTAAATCTTTAAGTAGGTAAGTGACTATAGCACTCTATATAAGCATAGTTATGTTAAAAACCTTATTATGGAAGAGGGAAATAAAAAGAATTGCCCAGAAGTCTTAAAGTTCATTATTTTCACATTCCTCTACTTCATATAAATAATGTAAATTTAATTCTATAATACTATTACAAAATAGAAGTTTAAAAAATTAAATTTGTTTAGAATGTTCTGAGCATCCCACTTACCTATTTAAAGGCTAAAAATTAACAGGTAACTGTGACTGAATAGATAATCTGCACCGCATAAGAATTGAGGTGATCTAGTTAAGGCGGGCACTTATAGCACGGAATTCTCGATGAAGAGATCGCGTACCGTACGGAATCAGAATACGAGCCGAGGATCGCATTTCCACTGTGCACGATTCCGGGATGAAGATAAAAAGAAAAGGAAAAAAACATCAACGTCCTAGAAAGCCGTACAGTCGTTTCCCTGGCAGCCGCGCACCCAATAATCGTCTCCGCCGGCAGTGATCATAACAGTTACGTCGCGCGCGAGATCGTCTCTATTTTCGCCGAGCCGAGTATAACATTATTATATAAGAATGCGGCTACGGGAAAAGCCGGGAGACCGTCATCGATATGAACGACACACGTGTTGCGAGCGATATTTTTCGAATAAATCTGCAATGAGTTTTCCGTACGGAAGGTTTAATCCGTATTTATACATTCGATGTTCTCGCCATCTATTCGTTATTTATTGTTCACGTTGTAATATCCGAAGCAACGCTTTAAAATCAGATAAATGGATATTTCTCGATAAGGGGAAAGATAAGAATTTTCTTTCTAGATTCAGTCGGATTTTTCAATAAAAAGCGAAATTTGAGAGAGAGAGAAACGAAAAATGAAGCTGGAATGGAAATCTTCTGGTGAAATTTTCCACGAGCAGATTCCCACCATCCAGGTACCCGCCATTTCCGCTTTCGAAACTCTTTCGAAAGCGTGCGGCTTATCCCCCGCGATTATCCGCCATTTCCATGTTCCTTTTCGGTTTTACTTGAGAGACGAGGAAATTAGAGATCTTTAAGTAAGAGACTTGGACACCGTTTAGACAACTTCGGATTGGTCCACTATATTTTTCAGGATCTGCTTAAGCTAAAATGAGATAGATGCCTAAGTTGGAATGAGATGCGTGGAAGAAGGTCCTGAAAAATATGGTGGATCAACGTACGGTGTCCGATCTCTTACTTGAAGATTTCTAGAGGGAACGCGTCGCGTAGCGCTGCTCGAATTCACATTTCACACGTTATAATCTTTAATTAAAGCAAGTTTTCCGCCGCGCATAATGCGAGGTCATTAGACGTCGTCAGATGCTACCGCGGGTTGCCATCATCGTATCCCGCCACCATCCGGTTTCCCGTCTCTTGGCCTGCCGTTTTGTCTGTTTTCCTCGAACTAACCGCGAAAGCATTTAAACGAGTGGTGGTCGTCGTTAAAAATTACAAGCTGCGATATCTTACGATGTTCTCAGCGTATCGCTCCTTGATATGCAACTGCCATTAACCTATTTCATGTACCGTCTCACAGCCTCGTCGGGCATCTTTTGGAAGCAGCCGATTGCATGAGTTCGTCTTCATTACGCGTGGAACAGCACAACAGATGTCGATAATTATTCCTTCAAGAAAAGGCTGAAGTATCTAAAAATGATCAAATATATTAGTTAAAACTGCGATATTTGTATATGAGATGCTGATTGAAAGTTTCCATAGTCAAAACTATAAAAAATGGAGATTTATCTGTAGCAACATTTTAAAGTTGCTACTTTGGGTCTAATCATTTTAACCGAACTGAAAATTAAATACTTTTATCTTCAGTTTTGGTAAGTGCGCTTATATACTTTTATGCATAGAATAATGAGATAAATTAAAATAATATAAAAAAAATACCTAGTTACTTCTAAAAAAATTATACAATATGCATATTACATTTTTTAAAAATAACTATATATTTTTTTTACATTAATTGATAAATAATAATGTAGGATAGGCACAATTGGTTGTTAGAATATCAAAACTTTTTGTTGCACTGCTTAAAATTCTTCCGCAATTATTTTGATGGTCCAACAAAATTATTTTCAGATCTGTATCTATATAGCAACATTTTTAGATACTTTACTTTAAAATTGTTCTTTCATCTTTTAATTTTTTTTTCGAGGACATAGCTCCATAAAAAGATAGCATTATAATAGATGAGTTTCTTTTGCATCTGTTTATGACAAAATAATAATTGAAACAATACATGTAAAGCGTTATATAAACTCGATTAAATAAAACCGAAGATGCAGTTGTTTGTGCTGTATTATATCATTGACGTCGATCCTCTTAGTTGTCGACGTAGAGCTTATTCACTCGCTCGTTCAATGTGTACATAACTGTATCTTATTGCGAACAATCTTGATTCTCGTCAGTATCACTGTACATTTCGATACAAGTTCAGGTAACCAAGAGCGATTTCACTGCTGCAGCAAGTAATTCTGCGATCCGACCGAACGTTTCTGTTTCGCATTCGAGGCGGATTCGACATCCGCCACCGTTGAACATCCGCTTACGTTTCCCGAACGACGCTGCATCTCCATTACGGATGGTACCGTTCGTTTCCCCGTTCTCGTTTCACCTCTCTGCGGATACGCCACTCGTCATGCTCCTCGTCGACGTCGCGATGTACTCTTGACGCACCGCACTCGTGCTCACGAATGCAGGCTTTCTCGCGATCGTCCGGGAAACGAGCGTCCTCGTTGACGTCATCCTAGTTGTCGTCGTCGTCAACATCGAAAAAGGAAGAAAAGAAGGAGACTCCAAAGAACCTAACCGAGCTGAGGAGCGGATGAAGGCGCGGTAATGGAGGATGTTTGCGAGCACGATGGGGTTGGTAGTTAGGGCGGATGGATAAAGGAGTTTTATTATGTCTGAGGAAGAGTCACGCGAGTGCTCCGTAACGGAGGATATACCCGTGAGGCGACGACAAAAAGCAGATGGGTGGTTCTCTATGTCCGAGAACGAGTCACGAAGACGCACGCGGACAAGTCTGCGCGAGTCGCACGATATAAAAGGTTTTATTGTGTCTCCATGGGCGAGTCGCGTGAGAGATGGCTAAGAGACCTACCTACGCACATAGTTTCATCGTAGAGATAAAGCCTTTATTCGCTTATTGTTTGACGGGTGCGGCGCGAAATCGTCGTGGACGAGATTAAAGGCACGTTCTTCGCTATCTCGACCCATTTACGAATCTTTACAACTCCGTCCCCTGTTTTCCGCAAATATACGTCTGAATTTTTAAATACAGATTTTACTTTAAGGAATTCAGAATTACAAAATATATTATAAAACGTCTCCGGTTTATAATATCATAACGAATTTATCTTTTTCAAAAAGATAAAAAAAGATGCTAAGTATGCGTGCTGCTCCCAAAAAAAAAATCGTTACATAAATTATTATATGCACTTGTATGTGTGCTCCTTGAAGAAAAAAATGACTTCTATTCCAAACCTATTTTTCAAACTATGAAAGTAATATATAATTTTTTTCAAAAAATATGTGAAATCTTTAAATTGTTCCAATTATAAACAGAAAATACATTTCGTTGAAATACTAATGTTATATAACTACTTTTAAACAAAAATACCTAAAAATAAGAGCATCTAGTTGAAATAAAAAAAATTTAATACAAAAAAACTTGACGCCGCTAGCAAACTTGGCTTGGTTTGCGGCGCTTAATGTTTTTACTCTAAAATTTCTTTATTTCAACTAGATGCTCTTATTTTCATGTATTTTTCAACGAAATGTATTTTCTGTTTATAATTGGCGCAATTTAAAAATATGATTAACTTAGGTTAACTGTTATACTCATATGCTTATGTGAAGCATGCTCGTTATTACGATATTATCGATGATCAACCAAATCAAAGTTCGTTAATTATTCTCAACTAAAATATCCATTACTTGAATTGTTGCTTATCGTAAAAGTATTTATAATAATATAATATACCTATAATTATAATACTTATTATTATTTAATTATTGGTGAAAGTTACTCATATTGTATAGTCTACATGATTAGTCGCTCGCTTACAAGAAACTTCAAATATTTAACAATTGTCAATTATGGAGGTATTTAAAAATTTAATGTTGCTAATAATTAGTTTAATAAATTTTCTCATTGATAATTTGTCTATAAAAGTGTCTGCGTTAATTCAGGCAATTTTATCTTTAGTAATTTTATCTCTGACAAAAATATTATTAAAATTTAATGTGAGAAAATACCCTTGCATTTTTGCCATATATCCCACCCATTATCTATACATAGCAAAAATGCAAGATTTCAAAAATTTATTTTTTAATACGAAAACTAAATATTTCGGATTTCTAATATTTTTTTCATATAGTAGTAGACAGTATAAAGTTTTTACTGATATAGTTCGTTTATTTCAAACATAGTAAATAATACTTAATAAATTAAGTTTTTGATAGGTGCGGCGTATATACCGGAGTTACCCTATCAGCCAATTACATAAACTCACATTGACTACGTGTACTAGAACTTTAATTGTAATATGCCGAAATCAACAAAACGAAGCATTTTATTTTGTAATTTTCGCTGGTACTTCGAAGCAAATAACTATATCATTTCCTTCTCGCAATGCGTAACGTACGATTAGTGGAACCTGTAAGCAAAGTTATAACAAACATTTACGGCAACAGATTGAAATCAAGTTACGAAAGAAACAAATGGCGCATAACTAAAAAGAAGATATATATTATCATTGTTAAGTTATTCTTAAACCGATATCAGATTAGAGATTGGATTGGAATTTGACCAATTACAATAAAGTTACCTAATTCGATGTTTTTTCTAATTGATTAAATTCCAATTTAATCTCAAATTAACGTTGTATATTATATGTGTTTATTATACATATATATTTAATTATAGATAAATATGCGCAATTATGACTCTTCTTTTAAATTATTAAATTTGAGCAGATCAAGATTACCTTGGGATATATTCGCAAAATAGAGAAACTGTTTTCGTATACATATTCTTTGCCTTTCTGCAAGGGACAATCGGCTTTGCTACCATCAACATTGTAAATATTATTACAGGCATTTGTTCCATCAACTCCTACAAACGGTAGAGATTTATTAAAAAGAAGCGCCGATACGTCATTAATCAAATTCTGAATATCTCTGTTAGGCACGAGTTGTATTCGTATATAGATAGTCGATCCCTGTTTTAACAGACATTCAGGTTTGTCGCAGTCGGATATACTGATTTGATTGGCATCTTCGAACGGGTCACCTAAAATCATAAATCGTAAATCGTAAATAATTTGAACAATGTGGGTATAATTTGTGTTTGTTGTGTCTTCACACAGCTCGATTTCGAATTATTTGATTACGTAAAAATCATAAACACACACACACATTAATTAAACCACGTGATTATTTTATTTATAAAAGCTAATTTAAATTAATATTAAAGTACTTTGCATAAAATTTATATAAAATTTATATTTATATAAATAAATTTGATTATTAACAGACTGTGTAACTTATTTATTTTTATTTCTATTATTACTTTATCATATTACATTATACGTATTTTTGAAATTACGTATTTGAAATTTCAGTGAAATGTGTTTCAAAACTTATAATTTCGGCGAAATGTTACACAAATTTCAGTAAAATTTTTCCACCAGGGTCTTTGTAATCTTCTGTAAGAATGTGATAATTAAAAAATTATTCAGGAAACAAATTCTATAATTTAAATAAATCATCAAATACTTGCATTAATATATTTACTATTGCTGCAATATTTTTCACATAAATGTTTAATTTTTAACACACAATGCATCATAGAAGGCGTGGTTTAGAAATTTGACGGTCAAACCGATAAGCCATGCCAAAATCGCACGGGTTTCGAGCGAATTTCGCACGGTGAAGTGGGGTACTTTATGCGTACTGCGCTCGTGCGGCTATCGTAAAAAAAGCGCTGATACGACCATAGCACGCATCATATTCTTTTTTTAGCGATTCTCGTGCCATGATTGCACGACTTCATGCATAAACAGATTGAACGATGGTGCTATTAGCGCATTGAAATAGGCCACACGATAGTAGTATCGACTGTCCGTGTCAAAATCGTAACAGATTTCTATCCGTGTAATAATTAGGAGTCATTAAGTGCAGCATTATTATCTGACGATAAAGTTACGATAACACTAATTGTAATTTCTGCCACGAGCTTTAGAAGCAATCTTCGATATAATCATTCAATGTTTCACTCGTATGATAATCTTAAATAATCTGCCTGACTTTTTAAAGACAAAATTCTACTTCAGCAATTTACCATATGATTACGAATAATACACATTCCTGTTGATAAATACTTGTACGATCCTTGAAAAAATAACAAAACGAAATTACGCCCAATATTATATAGTATACAATATGTCACAAGAAGAATTTTAAATATCGAAAATATACCAAATCCCTCATTTACATCAGAATAGTCTAAAATATGTGAAGTATAAAATTTTGCCAATATATTTTATGGAAAAATTGTGCAAGCATATGTAAAATTTATTTCATTACAAGTTACATATTAATTAAGAGTTAAACATTGGAAAAACATTTCAATATTTAAATAAAAAAGATATTGTACAAATACGTTTATTACTCGAACATGAATCAGTAGCGAAATCTAAAAATGCACTTATCAAGTAAAAACGAGATGTGTAATTTAGAAATTAAAAAATGCCTATTACGGTCGAAGCTGGATCTTCATTGCTTTAAATAATTCAATCTTGAATTACTAATATACACTATATATGTACTTGCATATATACTATATTGTAGTCTTTTCAAACTGCGCGCCGAATTGTTTTTCCGGACTATAAACGCAATTAAAACTACTGTAGTAATCGCGAATTAAATTGATAAGCAATTTAATAATTTAATGCTATCATCAAGCATCATATTATAAAGATGTTAATATGTTGAAACTGTTAATAAATTTATTGCGAAAAATGTTACCTCGGTCAGAACTTGAATCCAGATCTCTTGTATTCCGCACGAGCGTCCTAAGTCATTAGACCACCGAGGCCATTTAATATATAATTTAGCTTGGAATGCATGTACAATATGTACATGTGTCTATTGATAAGATATATTCTTTAAATATATTTTAGTTTGCCTTGAGAATGAACTATGACCAAACATTCTTTTATTTTTTTTTTTTTTTCAACTTTTATCTCTATGTCCGTAAGAATTTTCATTAAATACATTAATTATCCTAAAGATAAACTATGTTTAATTTTCGATGAAGTTTTAAAAATAAAGAATTATTTGTTCTTCTTGGAAACGTAGAATAAAAACGTTCACATACTTATAGAGACATAACATTTTTAAGAATGCAAATAGAAAAATAAATCGATAAACTTTGATCAAACGTTTTAGAATATTCGGTATAATAAAATTTTGACGCAATGCAACACCGAGAAAGTTTCATGAGAGCACTTAATGATATCGACAAATCTTTTCACGTAAAGTGAAGCAGTTTTAATTTTAAAATAAATATCTTAGATCTGTAACTTTTCCAGTGACATCAAAAGACGATCATAGCTCTCAATACATTATATAAAAGCAAATACAATAATTATTTCTGCAAACCTTTTATATAACGCTTTATCTAAAAATTCTTTCTTATGCATGTTTGAAATAAAAATATTATTGTTGCTCATTTAATTATTTTAGTTATAATCCAGCAAATTTTCGTTTGTCTCAACTCGGTATGTATATTTATATAACGGTGCTACGTGAATAAATAAGTCCACTTACAAAAGTATAGGAAAAGCAATGAAATATTATGTTACAGAAATGGTTCGCGCATTTTAAACGTGATTTATTAAAAACTAAAAGCTCTTTTAATAGGTTAATGTATTTTTTTAAATAATATTTATGTTTTTGTTCAATAATTAACTTACCAGAATCACATTGATTAACTACCGTGGCACTGGCAAGCACAATGAGCGCCGCGGAAACGAGAATCATTTCCCTCAGCATCTCGTGCGCTGAGAGTGTTTCTACTTTTCCGTTCAAGAAACTTCGTCAGAGTGCTGTGGGTCTGATCAGACTCAATTCCGGCTCTCGACTGATGACTAACTCGAACGCGGTGACAGGTGCCTATATCGTTGCGCCGTATGTGAAACTCCTGCTTATGTATGGATTCATACAGCGCACAACATTCAACTTACGTTCGATATAGAATTTGTTTCTTGGAGATAAAAATGTTGCTAATTAGAACCGAATTATCTTATTGGATATCATACCGTCGTACATCAGGTATCGCGTGAGTCCAGCAGGTATCCTCATTAAGGAAGAAGATAAGAAAATAAAGTATCAAAGTTTGCATATTGACTGTTAAAAAGTATATGTTTTCAAAGACTCCGCGGAGGTTCTTGTAAATTTATATTTATCTATAATTATAATCAAAGACTTAATAATCAAAGGAATTGATAAAAAAAAATGAAAACACAGTTAAAATAGCATAATCTTACACATAAGTCCCATGGCAAATAGATTAATTGTAAGTGAGTCAGCTTATTATTAATAAAGAATCTATTAAAATTAGTAATAAGGTAACCGGACCCAATTTGGACTCCCTAAGTTTTGAGAATATTTTTAATTTTTTTCCTTAACAAAATGTATACCCAATGTGAATAGCGTATATATTCTCCCTTTTTCATACAAAAATATTAAAAATACAGAAACTAAAGTGATCCAACGAATATGAGAAGAATAATCGACTATGATTGGTCAATTTTCTACGACTTAAAACCCTACAACTCATATATATTACAAAATAAAATTGAAATCTAATAAAGATTGATTGATTGATTTTCTTATGCGCTACGCATTAGGCGTTATGCAATTTTTCTGCAGCCATTACGATAACGATATATTTTCACGAAGCGATGCCACGAATGACAGCGATCTAGCTTTCTATCGATATATCGATACAACACTAGCGAAACCGTAGGTAAATAGTATCACAATAGGCGAATGCTGCTATCTGCCGTTTAAAATATGAAACGGACATTTCCGAGGGCGGTGATGATGACGTATCTTAAAAAAAAATTGACATTTCGGACTTCGCATCGAGATATCTCCGTTTGTACACTGAAAAAAAATATAGTCAATTCCAATAAATATTTAGTTGAATACATTCCAACTAGATATTTTTTAAATATAAAGATATATTTATTTAATACAAGAAATGTTAATTTGATTTAACAATCATTTTTTTATTAAATAAATATTTATTTACTGTAAGTAAATATTTAGTTGGCAGTATTGAACTAAATATTTATTAAAATTGACTATATTTTTTTCTCAGTGTAAGGCACGTAGACAATAAAAACACTTTAATTATATAATTTAAACCCGAATTGTCCATTGAGACACTACTCAGAATCGATCAACTTCTGAGTATTCTCAATGATCCGATAATCTCGGATGCTCGCAACTCGTCGACTCGCGTAAAGACACGGGACGGTCTCGCGTTAGCTACACTTGACGCAAGACATTACCGTATCTTTTGATACGATCCATTATTAAATCGTTTTTAAGTTTTTAATATAGAAGTTTATAATACGCTTTTATAATATGGAAAAATTGGTTAAAGTATCTAAAAATGTAAGTAGATACAGATCTGAAAATAATTTTGTTGGACTATCAAAATAATTACATAGGAAACTCAAGTATGAGCAAAAAACTTTTAGCAACCCATTTAAGCGTTCTACATAATTATTTTAGTCTAACAAAGTTATATTTTCAGATTACATTCATCTATATCTAGTTAAATTTCTAGATATTTTACCAAAACCGTCTTTTCCGTGTAAAAATAATTACACAACAATAAAATACGAATATAAAGTGTCCGTCACTTAACTCGTGCGATCGAAGAAAAGAATGTATATATAATATCATTCCGCATTCATGCCGATTTCTCGAATTTATTAAATGGTATTACTTATTGTCTAACTTTATCGTTTCATTTCACATACGTCTCGATTTCTTCTTAACCGTGATACTCTGACGTATCGTGTTTCCGCTATGCGATCTCACGTAATTTCTCGTGGATATCCGAAAAGTATCACAGCAGTATCATCGCCAAGCCGTTCCGCGGCATCGATTGATTCGACCTATCTACCTGCGCCGTCCGCACAACGTCGCATCCATCACCCCTTCGGGGTCCATAAATAAATTACAGTCGCGTGACATTTACCGGCTACACATCCGGCGCGCTCTTTCTTCGTTCTCGCTCTCCCGGTCTCTTTCGACATGGTCCGAGTATAAAGGGGACTTCTTCACCTACGTTCGTACGACGAAAACGTGACGCGGCACGCGTTCGCTCAAAGAGTTTTCCCATGGACGTGAACGCTGATGTAAGGAACAAAATAAAGGGCGAAACAGAAAGATGGAGGAAGAAAGAAGGAAAGAGAGAGGGAGAGAGAGAGAGAGGAAGACTTGTGGGAAAACATGTGGGAAAGCCGGAAAACTGGAACCAACGAAATCGTGCTCCTTAAGTTTCCTTTCGTAGCATTGCCGAGCATTCACCCTTTTGACCGGTCATCCGATAAGGAGATCCCAGCGTTCGTTTTTAGTCGGGGACGAGCGTGGTCTCTGGAGTACCCAGTTGAACCGCTCGCGGAAACCGCTGCGACCGCAAGCGAAAAAACAAATGACTCCGCGATATTTCCTGCGGAAATCCTAATAGAAGCAGAAAGCGTGTTCCTTGCGATTTAGTTTACTTAGAGAATGTCGCACGCGATTTAGTATTGTTGTGATTTACAGTTCAAGCATATGCGAGAAATCTTGCAGTAGAAGAATTGTAATAGAAAAAGAAAGAAACAATCTTGACACATTGCGGAAAAAAGTTAAAGATTGAGTTTTATTTACATGAAAGTTCATGAAAAAATGAAGGCGATACCAGACGGATAAGGAACCATAGGGACTATTTTCTACATTTAATCGGAAATAACAGAACTGCTGCAGAGAGATACATTTTCTTTTATAAATAGTTTTTATTTGCCATTTTACCGTTTTATTCAATTAGACTATTTCGAGATATTCTATTTTTGCGACGCTTCAAACGAGGACGAGACCATCTTATACAAACCTGCATTTGAGGTGAGATATAAATAACTTAACAGATACTGCGGAAAGATACGCGAGAAACTGCAGTTAAATGGCGGGTAGTAAAAACCGAATGACGTCAGACAATCGGAAAGATGCGCGTGCGATCCTAAAACAATACGGTTATTTATTGCGAATGGTAGCGGATGCGTCTGCGGTGTATACGCGAAGAAATATATGGCTCGCCTTTATCGGGGACGTTTATAAGCCCGGATTATAGCCAGGGAGAAATTGGCCCCTGCAACCTGACCCGAGTTACACGCGTGTTTTTGATCGACTACTTTAAGATGGCCATCCCTCAAGAGATGGACGGCCACCTGCGACAGAGATAAAACCAGAACTCTGCTTTCGTTTTCTCTCTCTTTCTCTCTTCTTCTTACCTTCCTCCTCTTTTATTATTTTTTTTGCAGGAAAACTGTGCGGAGTGGTGCGCCGTTAAATTACATGATGCGTCACGGTCTGCGGTCGAGATTACGCGCGATGGTGGAAAGATCCGCTCGGTCTGCAATATCGCTAATGGCCACGAATCGCGTAAATAATAAAATAAACAAAGCTGCACTTTGCACTAAATAACAACTTTGAAAACCGTCCATGATGCACGTGAAACTGATAGTTGGAGAAATTTCCTTCAGAAAATTCAATATCTTACTGTCGTTAGTAGGGGGCGAAAAAAAAAAACAGGAAAATCGCATCCTAAAAATTCGCACCGTTTGCATGATGGATCCCGGAAATCCCGTTTATCACACCTTTCGGTTTTCGTACCTTTTATCTCCTACATACGTCAAAGGTAGACATCGTATATCGATGCTCGCTTTTATAGGACGTCTAAAAATATTTCTGGGTCATTGTCCGCCGGTGTTTCGTTCCTCGTAATAGCCGGGTGTGAAGTAAGGTTTTGAGAGCCGGCAGAAAATGCAGTTTTATAGACGAACACTTTTCGTCAGTACTTGCGGGCGGGAAGTCTTCAAAATGGCGCGGACACGTTCCTTTTTTTACTACGTACGAGCTCGTAAAGGAACGCGAAGGAGACTCGACGATTACGACGTCTATGGCCGCCGACAAAGTCTGGCGTTAAGTGTTCAAAGCGGATGCTCTTCGCGTGACTTACAATCCCAATATGGCGATCCGGTTACAAGCGGATCGTATTGCGGGAATTTTTAGGGCCGGCTGCTTTACTGTGCGCCAGATTACTCGACAATTACAAAGGGAATTCGCCGTACGTCTGGACATCGCGTGACAGGAAAGGAACGATATTTTAGTGGTAGATCGTGCGTATAATTTCGACGAAATTAATGTTTACTCTTGACACCATTGCCGTTGCCTCCAGATATTTCTGGATAGCGTGGCTATCCAAAGAAAATAGATAAGTCGGAAAAAGGGTGAGAAATTCTCGCGCAGAGATTCCACCGAAGGAATTTTTTGGTTTATTTTATATAATTAAAAGAGTATATACTTTTGGAACTTAAAGTGACATTTGGTGAAAGCGAGAAAGAGAGTTCTAGTGCAGTCTAATGCAGAAATAAAAAAACAGACCCTGTGCGAAGGCATTACATGAAAATGATCATCGTTTCGTCGCTCCAGCTTGCGGTTGCATCAAATTATGTTCGATAGCATCGGGTATCGGCCTCGTAAATACTTGATTAGGTAATACCCTCCGTGGCAACCCTTTCTCTCCTCGTGTACGGGAACGGTGCGATAAGGCAACGTGGAGAACACACTGGCGTGCGTGAAGACAGTAAATATTTCCCGCGGAGCGTAAAACGCGATACGCGTCCCGCCCGGTTACGTTCGTATAGGGCTTTAAATAAAGCGATGAATTTAGTCAGAAGAGGGTAGGCGCCTGACTCTCCTTGGCCTTTAAGTAAAATCTCCGTTGAACTAGAAGGGAAGATTTATGCGACGTTTAAATCAGTAAATAGTTTCACGGTGGATAATCCTTTT